ATTTAACACCGTTAGGATTATGAATGCTATAATTGTTATTTGAATAAAATGGAATGAGAATGGTGTCTGATGTATTAATTAAAAGTGTAGCCATACATGATAATGAAGTGGTATTTGGTTGTCGTAATTCATATAAATCATGATGATCATCTATATTTAATATGAAAACTTAAAAATAAAGTTAATTATTATTAATAAAAAAAATACATTTTAATTACAAATCGTTACCTACTTACATTAGTTATAAACCATTTGCGAACTGATTGATTCTTCATGCCCAGCTGCAATTTTTTGTAAATTATTATAAACTGTTTGATATGTTACATTTAATCCCATACTCGCTAACATGTTAATTCCAGTTACAGATGTTCCTGCACTAGCTAAACTTATTCCAATAGCACTTCTTGCAGCAGTTATTTATTTATTTCGAAGTGATGCAATACAATGACAAAGAAGCATTACCTTTTTTTTAAGTTATTCTTGTGTTATAACATTTTTGCTTTTTGAATTAGTGGCTTGAAATAATAAATCAAAGAATCCAATTAATTCCGGATCACGCGTTTCTATTAATTGAACAAACTCAATAATAGGTTTTTGATGTTCGTGATGTTGGTGATTATATAAAACAGTGGCAAGACATTGGACTTTGTCATTTATAAAATCACAAAAAGTATCGAGATTTATATTATAATTTTATTAATTGAAATATAATTACTAAAAGATATTAATAAATTACAAATTAGATTCAGACGAATTGTATTTCTCAATTCAGCTTTAATTCATGAATTCTAGCTGATAGATCTTCGGCTAAATTTGCTTTACTTTCGTCATAATTATAAATTATGTCACCAACATGCAGGCGATACTGTGCATTGGCTCCATTGTCATCTACCAAAAAAGAAGGAAGTTCGTAGTGTCGACACGAATTCTCTAAAAAAAAGGTCGATTCATAACCCATATTCTGATACAATGAAATGAAGCTAGTTCTCTATAAAACTTGGAATTATCTGGCGAAATTTCTTCGTCGACCTTTCTTCTTGGTATACGTTTCTTTAGTATACATTTGAAATACATTTGACTAATATAATCATTAAAAAATAATACATATAATCATTAATAAGATTTCATACAGGTATTTAATATATTCAAATCAAACCTTCGCTTGTATCTTCTTCGGGATCGAAAGATTTTTCGACAATAAACCAGTCATTCATCATTTCATTAAAGCATTGCTTGTAAAAGAAAAACGTTTGTCAACACCTTCATCGATTAGGTGACGTATTGCAAATAATGTTGTATATCGTTTTAGCAAGTCGAGGTCTACATTCTTTTGATTTGTTCTTGTTATGATGTTTTTAAATATGCGGTGCACCATTTCATTTGTTCCCACACCTGTATATAATAAAGTCGCATAGTTTCTTGCATGCTGTAATTAACATACAAATTCAGAAGATTTTCAAAGTCTTCAAATGCATATATTATTAAAATAAACCATGTATATATTAAAATCTTCTAATAAATAAATGATTCGTTAAATACCTGTGAAATAATTGTCTTTCATTATCTAAACATTCACGTAACTTAATATAATCCTCCTCTGTGAAGGAATGCTTGAATGTCATTGCTGTTGTTTTTGCCATTAAGACCCAACATTTTAACCAGAGTTTTACAGCTATATCATTTCTCGACTTCTTCGTAACTTATCAATTTCAGATTGTCTGAGATGTTGGGGCTTCAAGAACCTATTCAAAATAAATGGTAACATCATAATAAGGCGTAAACAATCTGACATCATAAAGCTGTCGATGTGGGATACGGATTTGGCAGCTTTTGCCACATTTTTGGATATTCAAATGATTTTCCAGAATATGAAGAAATCTGATCTCCCTTCGTTTGTAAATGCATAAACTGTAATTTTGAGAAACCGTAATATCTTTCCAGCTGTAACATGATAGACATCTTGTGGTGATTAAAGGTGTCTTTCTCTTTTCAGTTGGTCGAGTATTGGTGACCGCATGCATAATCCATACTCTATTGCAAGCTGCTTTCTTTTATTAAATGGGTGGTGTGCTATTAAAATTGAGGTACAGATCATATGATTTACTATGTCTCGTATCTCAATTTTAATAGCACACCACCCAAATGGTAAATTTTCAACCTGAACATAAATGCCTTCCAATGAATGGTAAACGTTACGAAATGTCCCAAAATCATCATAGTAAAGATCAATATACAGCTTATAAATTGGAAGATTTGTTACTGACATTTCTAAAGCAGCAAATTCTGAAGGATGTTGATAAGAATACTTTGCGTTTCTTAACTTCCAATGTCCTTGGTGTCTATAAAGAATCTCACAAATAAAAATCATAGAAGGTTCATTAACATTATTATCTTTATTGTAAAGTATAACAATTGTTGCAACTTTAACAATTTTTGTAATTCAACAGTTAATATTGTATTCTCTGTTTCTCGGTCTAACAACCATAATTCGTTTTGTGACCTTTTTCTTCGATTATTACTCTGCAAGTTATTTGGTAATTCTTCAAATGTTAAAATGCGTTGAATTATTATTTTAAGTACACCATTTCTAAAATTCGACCAACATTATTTACTACTATTGATTCTTTGTATACTATGAAATCTCTACAATTGTACATTTCTAATTTAATAATATTATAAAAATTATTAATAATATTAACAAAAATGATCATTACAGTAAAATATGTAATATATACTTCCGTTAATTTGAACAGAAGTGCATCCAAATTGTGGGGATCCTTTTCATAAGTTTTCATGCCATAGTTCTAGATTTCTTTCGATTACTTGATCTGGACCAAAATACATTTGGTCAAATAATGAAGGATTGTTAAGAGAATGCCAAATTATATTTGTAATGGATAAATAATACATATCCTTAATTTTTCAGGAAGTTGGTGAGATTTTTTAGTCTGAAATATGAATTTTACGCGATCTAAAAGGTAGTAAAGGTAATCTTTGTTGATGCTTTCTGAATCAGCGAACATTAGTCATAACATCCTTGATCTTGAACCGTGGATGCCGAATTATATCTACTAATTCATCATATGCTTGAGTAGCTATTAAAATTTTAGAATTATAATATTAGAATTCAATTTATTGCGAAATAATTCTTAAACCTTACATATGTTATGCTTTTGAATCCAGCAAAACATTAACGCTTCAGTAATATTTTTAAAATATGGTGCGAACTCTCCACTAAGATGCAGAATTTTCTCATTATCCAAGGCATTATCAACAATTTTATCAGTTTCTTCTTCATCGAGGATTCTATCATACCAATTTCTTCTTCATTAAATCCTTCGTATTCATTATCAACAATTTCTTCTTCATCAAATACTTCATATTCTTTTTCATTGAATAATTCATCACCGGTTTCTTCATTATTGAAAATTTTATCACTGATTTCTTCTACAGCTTCATCATTAGCTTCTTTTTTGTCAACAAGTGGAACTTCTTCATAGATATAATCGGATATTTCTTTATTTGAAACTTCATAATTTCATTGTTCCTAATTGATATTCCATCATCTTTTTATAAACATTTTTATTGTCATGTAGTATTTTAAAGGTGATATTTATAATTTATATATTGTATCATTCATCTCCTTAAAAATAAATATTTACCACTTATTCTAGTATTCAATGTATTCAATGATGCATCAAATATATTTAGTGGGTTCCTTATATAATTTTGTCGAGGATTTAAAGAAATATAGCGGTTGCGAAACATTTGTGAAAAAAATAGAAAAATAAAAATTTACTTTCACGCAAAAAATGAAGAAAAAGTTTTTTCACACACTAATAATGTTAAATGATGTAATATTGCATAAATTTCGTATATGTACAAATTTTACGTAATAAAATAAATAATCGTTACACTAACTTGAAACAATTATAAAAGTATATTAATTTAATGTAAAAAGTTTATTGATAGAGTTAAACTAAATTTGGTAATATTATGGTAAGTAATTAAATAAACTTTTTGAAAAGTTTCTTTTTTTATATCTATGAATTAAAAAAAATAAACTTTAGAAAAAAAGCTTATTATTTATAATTTAATCATGAATAAAAAAAAAAAGTACAATACTTCTCTCTCAAATTACTTTTACAAAAAATTATGAGAACTTCTAAAAAGCGCGCAATTGAAAAAATTGAAGCCACGAATAATACAAATAAAAGAGGTTGCAAGAAAAAGGATGTTTCAAATGATGATCTTATAAAAGTACGGGTGCAAAAAGAGGTCGTAAAAAAAAACAGTTGCTCCTAATGACCATTATGATAACAATGATAATCCACAAAGTAAAAGTACAAGTGTCAAAAAAGCTACAAAAAAAAGCAGAAAGAAACAGATGCACAACCTTCATCACAAGTAATCACAAGTAATCACTGAACTTTTGAAAAATGATTTTCTTAATGATGACGATGGTCTTAACGATGATTATATTCTTAATGATAATGATGATCTTAACAATGATGATACTTTTAACAATGATAATGGTCTTAACTATGATATTCTTAATGATTTTAACGATATTAATGATGACCTTAATAATAATGGCGATAATAGTCCAAGCGATGGTGATGATGGTCCAAATGATGAAGAAGCAGCTGAAGCAACTGTAGAAATAGGAATCAATAGTCAGGATTCAAGACTGAATATTCAATTTCAAAATGATTTAAATAAAGCGACACCTTCAAGAATATTATCTGCATATGATTTGAGAGCTAGTAGTCAAGTTCCGAAAAATTTTATTCCTTCGAGTCGAATGGCACCTTCAAAAATGTTGTTGACTCATGATTCACGATCTAATAGTCAAATTTCAAATGGTTTTACCCCTTTTAATCGATCAGTGAATCGAATGGTACCTTCAAGAATGTTATTAAGGGAAAATAGTCCAATTGACTATTCAGTAAGGAATGAATTTGATTTTTCAAATAGAAACTCAAGAATGATGTCAGCAAAAAGTCCATTCGATTATACTTCTTCAACTGGAACTAGATCAATATGCAAATAGTCCATTTGACAGAACTATACCTCCAAGACTGACAAGGTTGACACCTTTAGAGACAAAAGATAATGCATTTAACATTCTTAATAATACAGTTATTCCAACTCAATATACAATGAATTTTAACACAATTGGGAAAGCCATTCCATCACCATTTAACGAAAGACAATTTATCAACTTTGTTCGTGGTTATGCACGAACTCTAATGTTTTACAATGGCAAATAATATGTATTCATCAATGCAAACCCTGGCTACAGAAGGGTCACAATCCATATCTCCTATCTTTAATGGATTTCCAACTACGTCACAAAACCAAGAGAATAAGAAAATGTCTTGTCGTGACTTTTGAAAGAGCTAAAATGTCTCTTTCTTCGTGTTCGAAATCCTCCTAGAAGAGCGTTCGAAGAGTTGATACGAAAAGTTATTAAGTGTGAGCTCAATTCTGCTGAAGGCATTGAATGGTTTCAAATAGCAAATACACTTCGGTGATTTTCGTAACAAATTTGTCAATAGTGTCGAGGATTTAGTCGAAAGTTTCAAAGAAAAAAGAAACACATTAGCATTATTTTTGTCTTTATTATTTATTACATTCAATAACGAATTTATTTCTATTATTTATTACGATTAATAACGATTTTATATTATTGCTTATAGATCGGGTCCTTTACAAAAAGAAGAAATCATCAATTTTGTGGATGAGTCTGCAACGGTTCGTGTATTGAGTCGGTGGTTAAATGCCACTAACATAGATGAATTATTTGCTCAAGATTCCATGCACAATTTACATAAATTTATTCAGCACGCTTTCGCTATTTATTATTCATCAAGAAATACGGAAAAACAAAAGCATTGGATAAATTAACGAAAGACATTGTAGTACCATCGCGAAATGGTAAAAATTTCGCTAGTAATTTACATTTATAATTATAATATTTTATATCGAAGGAAATAAAACAATTTTATATATAATAAATGCATTAAACAAAGTGCTATTTAAATAAATATACAAAATTTACATTTAAGAATATCACGCAAACTATTTTTTTGCTAATTTTCGATTTTGTTTGCAATTTTATTAAAACTAATATTATAATTCTCTAATATTTCGAAACTAACTGATTACGAAGCATTGGCGATGTTTTTACTACTTCGTATAGTTACGTGATCGATACAGATCGATACTAAATTCTGACGAATCAGAGGCTATTACGTAGAGACCAGGTGACAAACTTCAGGTTTCTGTAAAGGTTATTTCGTCCTATTTCAGTTAATTAAAAAAAAAAAGATTTGCGCCTGCATGTTTGCTTTCGAAACGCTTTTTATTTGAGTAATAACAATGGAATGTGGGATGGAAATCAATATGTAAATGAATATTCCTTTTCTAGATCAACAATCTATATACTGTAGATGGGTATTTGAATGAGATGGAACGTTACATACATTGTTTATAGTGTTAAATTGCTATATACCAAATGCTTTTTAGTTGGGTCTCGAGATGCGTGAAGTAGGATTTAGAATCGATTCTATCAAAATCGAATAAAAAATCGAATCTATTTTGTAGTGCAGTAAGTGTGGCAGAAAGAAAGGTAAGCGTAAAATTAGACGGTAATTTTCTTATTTCAGAAAAAAAAAAATAAAAAATCGATCGTTTAAAAAAAAAAAAAATTGGAAAAAAAACCTAATATCGCATACATCCACGCTCAAAATAAAACCTAAAAAAAAATATAATAATTTTCTGAATAAATTAACCCGTAATGTAAAAAAAAAAAAAAAAAAATTAAACCAAATTAAGATTAGAATCGATTAAACGAAACTGAAATCCATTCTAATTCCTAGTTCAGATTAAAATTATGATCAAAGATCATTTCTATATAAAAATGCATTCGATTAGAATCTATTAATCGAAATCGACAATCGAATCTTATAATCGAATGATTTATTGCGATTAATCGATTCTTCAATCAATTCTATTTTTTAGAATCGATTCCAATCCCTAGGATGAAATATTGTCGAAACGTAATTATTATGCATAGTTTCGATTCGACGTCAATGACCCGTAACGTTTTCCTCGACATTAAAAAGAGCAAATGTCGTAAATTTTTGAGGGTATTTTTGTCATGTAATAATCAACATTGGCGAATCTTCATATAAATATTAAATATTTGCATAATATCGTCAAAAAAAGGCTGTGATTTATTGCACATCTTGCATATTTTCTTAAAAATATAAGTTTTAGAAGCGAGTCATAAACCATCTATATCAATTTTGCCAATAACCAAAGATGCCGTGGAACGAGCATGTTTTCAGTGTGAAAATTATTCATTTTCACGTTTATGTATCCTACTATACATTATTCTGCTGTTATAGCTTTCCTAAAAAACTTGATGCTATCCAAGGTATTTGAGTAAGCGATAAATCCTATTTTTTGTCATCTCCGCACTTGCTGGAAAAGAAAGAAATTCATGAAACTTGAGATGGAATCCTTCATCTTCTTATGGAACTTTCATAATATTTCTAATGCATTGTTGAGATACAAGCAATGACATTTTTGCAACAATATTATGCGCATTCAATTCAGCATCGAATATAGTTAGCATAACACTAGATTGATTCCTAAGTACAATCACATTTTAACTCAAATATCTTGCTACATTGCAAAATGCAGCTGTTTCGTATTCATTTTTGTCTTTCATTATAAAACCATTTTCAACGCATTCTAGTTTTCCCATTCTGAAATCTGCAATATATTTTTTCAGGAGTGTTGATTATTTCCAAGATTTTCCAATCATTCTCCAGATATTTATTCTTAAATCAGCAATGGATTCTTTCAAAAACTATGATGAGATCATTAACCATCTTAAAGAGGTGATTCAAGTTCTTTCTGAAGTAATCTGCAAGAATTAAAAGATCAAATCAATAAAGTAGAAAAAGAAATTGGAATCAATATCGTACAGACTCATGTTAATGATAATAATAAATATACTGCTACCAGATGTATTATGCGATACAAATTAAATCCTATTGAAGTAATCTTGGACTCATAAGCTGCTGCCTGTATTATTTCAACAACCTTGACCAATAAATTAAAGATTAAGCCAAATAAGTCATCTGATATCTTGGTAGTAACTGCTGATAGACAAAGAAAAAGATCATTAGAAATTATTACTTCAGTTCCTTTGATTCTATAAGGAGTTCAATTTACAGTCGATTTACAAGTAATTGAATCACCCCAAGATACTTTGTTATTAGGAATCAACTGGTTCAAAACGTTTGATGCTAGAATGTACTTTAATCAAGTTGAATTGCGAGCAAAAATCCAGAACCAATTAGTAAAATCACTGATAAAATGCATTGAAGAAGCAAAACCATATTTCAGAATATTAGCTAATACAGCTGAAAGTAAAGAGAAAGAATATGAGGATGAAGCTCTCTTTAAAATGGATCTCTTCCAACTTGAGAATGAAAATGAGGAAAGAGAAATCTATTCTGATTCAGAAATCGATAAGGATGAATTAGAATGTATTGAATAGCCCTATAATGAAGAAAAGTTTAGAAACCTTTATATAGCTAATGTTAAAGAAAATGAAACTATAGAACAAGTCTATATCAAAGCTCTTATCCCGAAAGAAGTCATCTCAACTGAAAGAACTGACATTGGACAAACCCATATATAAATCACCAAATACCTCTCAAAATTGGAGTTAGACTTATTGCTCACCC